GTCCATTTTGACCTAAAATGGACCAAATGGACCATTTTACGATCAAAATAATACGATCAAAGGAGGCCCTCCCGATCTATTGTGATATGAATAATAAGATGTTTAATTTTTGATAATATTTTTATATAAATAGATGGCGTTAAAGAATTGAATGCAAATTGTTACCAATATTTATTATCAAAAGCATTAATTAGTAAAATTTATTAAAACATTAATTGTAATATATTATATAACTGTCAAATATTGTAAAAGCGGCATTTTGCCTAATATTTTGCAACCAATTCTATATAATAGAGAAATATCAACTATATGTCTACTTACTTTTTATAAAGAAATTTATTATACTTGTTTGGAATAAATTATTAATACATTTTCGTATTAATGTATATATATGTAATTTATCAGTGGCGTATCAGGATTTTCCTATATGGGAGGGGTAATTTTTTTTAGGGGCTTTGCCCCCAAATCTTCTTTGGCTGGCCTTCGGCCAGCTATTTTCCCACCTTCGGCCTGGTCATATCTTTGAGCTATTTTTTTAAATTATTCATAATTCAATAATAATTATATTAATATTTTTGGCTTTTATTTACTAATTCGCGCTTATGAATATTTAAAGAAGAAATAAAGGTTATAACCCAATTTTTATTTTAAGTTAGGTATATTATAAATAAATTTTTTTAAAAAATATAAAATTGAAATAAAGTTTAGTGTCAATTTTTTTTTATAAAATTGGCTTAAAAACTAGTTTCAACTTAAATCCTCATATAATATAAATAGAATAAAAAAATTTTTATTGAAAATTGTAGTGTGTATAAAATATTGACTATAAAATTTTTTAAAGAACAAGTTTTTATAACTTATTATCAAATACATTATACAAAAAATTTATTAAATACTAGAATTATAATGCGATTTTTAAATGTGGGAAACTTGCCAATTCATCAAGAATATCGTTTGTCGTTGCAATCAAATATTTGTGGATATTTAACAGAGCTAACCCATTTAGCCGAGATTTGGAAGTAGTATTTTGTTAATAAGTTTTCAACCTTCTCAATTTGAAAAAAGTTCTTTCATTCGTATATGTAGTAATAGGCAAACTTGCAAAAATATTAAATACCTTCAAAATATTTGGAAATTAAGCCAAGGTTTTCTTATACCGATTGAGCGTATCAATAGCATGCTCAGGTAAAATAATAAACATAGTAAATACTTATACCACGATTCGAATTCACTGATTAAATTGATTTCAGTATCAATATCATAGGAATAAAATTTTGCTTAATATTTAATTTTACCAATAATGGCATCAGAAAACGAAGAAGGGTCTTTAGGTAATAAAATTTGAAAGTTTACCAAATACTTGTTTTTTTCTAAAAATAGTACTTTAATTTGCGATAAAAAAGTATCTAAGAATGATATGAAATTGGATATTTTACAATATTCTATAAGATTTAGTTTTTAATTCAAAGTCTATATAAACATTATGAAATATTTATCTACATTCATTCTTCCTGTTCACATTTTTCTACAAATCAATAATTTGAACCAAATCGAAATTTGGTTTTTATAAATTTCTACATAGTAGTGAGCTATAGGAATATAATTTATTAATGCAACAGTAAGGATAAACTCTGTTTGATATTGAAAAATTTTGACGGGGAAGGGGATGGGGGAGGGGATTTTTATTAGCTTAAAATGATATTTAGGAAAACAGTCAAATTTGCGATGGGGAATAAAATTTTCCCTTCCCCCCCATCTTGGTTACGCGCAGTGGCGTATCCAGAATTTATCTATGGGAGGGGGGGGGAGGGTTTTAAATTTTTTTTGGGGGGGGGCTTCGCCCCTAAACCCTATTTTTAAATTTCGCTTATAATTAGTGTCAAATTACTATTAGTGTTGTTAAACGGCTCTTTTTGAGCCGATTTTTAAAAACTACTAACTTAATATTTTATCCTGAATAATATTAAGCATGCCTGAAGATTTTGTTTGTAGAAGGAACAAAGGTTTGAACATCTATTAGCAAAGTCCATCCCAAGGCTTAGGCAATATTTTTCTGGCTAAAATATTGAGTTAGCCGTTTTTAAAAATCGGCTCAAAACGAGCGGTTTAACAACACTACACTATAGTAGCCAGCATAAATGAAAGAATATTAGTAACAGAATTTTGGCCAAATTTATGATTAATAAGCGACTGGAAACATTATTCTAAAAATTTTATCATTGTTTAATAAATTGTAAATTAAATCATCCAGTGTAGAAAGAAAAAAAAAATTGCCCCCAAACCTTCCATTTTTATGATCGTTCAATATATCTTATTGAGTGTTAAAAATAATTATTTTAATTAAATTTTATAGAATTTCATTATAGATTTTATTTATTGTTAAAATACTATAGTATAAATAACATCCCTTATTTATTTTAATGATAAAATACAATAAAAAAATTTCAAAATGTATAAATTTTATACAGATTATTACAATAAAAATTTATTGTATATAACTCTATTTAAAAAAATATAATTCAATAAAATATAAGTAATTCTTGTACGGTATTTAAAAAAAATACTATTTAACAATTATAATTAATACAAATGAATCAAAATATAAATAATTCATATTGCAAATGCAATACTTTTATAAAAATAGGCAGAGAATCTAAAGTAAAGGTCCTGCAAAGCATTTTTTGGTCTCAAAAATATTCTATTTTATCAAGATTTTCATACCAAAATACGACTTCACAAAGTAACTTATCATGAAATTAAGATTTTCTTAATATCCTCTCGCGTTTCAAGTGTAATCAACAATTCAGACTCAAATGGCAGAAGAAAATAAAAGCTTTTTAAAATAAAATTGTGACTAATAAATCTTTCATTTAATTGAAACAAAAATATATCAATAAGGGGAATAAAATATTTATTTTATGAAAATCCTCAATCGTAGATGCATCAATATTTAAGCGATTGGACTGTCTAAAAACTATTATAGGTTTAAAAATTTTAATCCCAAACATATTAGCGATCTCCTTTACATTCTCGTATATTTCATGAAATTTTCATTCACATTATCTCTGATATTTGTTAATATTTCAACATTATCTTTTGCCCTATTCATAACCTCCCATAAATCCAAATCAATATTTTGTAGCATTTGCTAAAATCATATGTATAATTTAATAAAAAATATACACATTGAATTGATATTAAAAATGTGGCTTCGTAATAGCCTGCAAAAGATTTTCAGCATCTGCGGAATCTTTTACCTTGCTTGATATGTAGGATTCGAGTGCTGCAAAAATAACTTCATATAAGTCGATGAAAAATCTCACTGATTGTTGTCTTTCAATAAATAGTTGAGCAAAATCTTTTTAGTTTTTTTTTTGATTATTTGAATCAATATCATAAACGTTCGGTTAAAAGGCTGCCTCTTCTTGGGTAGAGTGAATAAGTCACAAACCGACGATATTGTTCTTATATTTTGAAAAATATATTAGAATTATAAAAAGATATCTATAATACATATAAAAATCCAATTTTCCAATTAAATTAAAATATTTTTACGTAAACTGTTCCAGATGTCTCGAATTTCGCATGCCTCATATATCATCAAATTTAGGCAATGTGAACTACAGTGAACATATAAAGCGGTGCTATAAAGCTCTCTAATTCTTGACTGCACCCCTTTAACGTGACCACTCATTAGATTTAAATTTAAATCTAGGTCTTGAATGGATGCTAAAATTTTTTGGCTAACGTCTTTGATTTAGTGTCATGTAAGTCAATAAATTGAACAAAGTGTTCCTTCATTTTGAAATCACCTGATTCCATATCAATAAACCTTACTGCTATGGATAATTGCTCTAAGTTATTAACATCCGAAATCTCATCCACCAAAACACTAAAAATGGTGATACTTTCACTTTTGAAGAAATTTCTTTCAATATGAACCTATTGCATATGGCTATTATTTCATTTTGAATACTTGGACTAAGGTAGATTTTTAGCAGAGCTTTCAAAAAGCTTTATATAGCTATCATTATTAAAATTTCAACAATTCCTTAAAATTCCCTTCATTATGAGAAGAGTATGTAAGTGTAAAGAGGCCAGCAGATATTCTATGAGCTCTTAATGCTAAGCCCTGCCTCCTTAACCAAATGATTTCATCAATTATTATAATTATTCTTGCTCTGTTGGTTGTGACAATATTCAAATTTTTTTTATTCAATACATTAGATATTAATATCTTTTGATTCATAGAGATGACTTTTAAAGCATCCGATATCTCACAAGAATTGAGATGGTAAATATTTTATTTCATATAATTTCTAATATATATTTTAAAATCCTGTGATCATGTGATCATTTAAAATTAAAAATTCTTATTTGTTTTTTAAAATATATTTCATTTTGATATGGTATATAAATTTATTTATAAATTGAATCGGTTTTTTAAATAAAATTATTCGCAATAAGAAAAAAATTAAAAAAAAAATTTCAAAAAATTTTCTAAATTTTTTTTAAAAATTAAACAATTTTTATTTCAGACTTATTGGAGGTGGGGTTTTAACCCCCCCCTTGTCTACGCCATTCGTTACGAGCTTGTAATTTATTATATTTTATATAAACTAATAAATATATATTTCTATATGTTCTGGGCTTATATTTTGATATAATCTCTTAATCAATTCCTTATATTTTAATATAAGAAAATATATATTATTAAAATTAGTTTGCTATCTAGCAAAAATATTTTATGAATATATATAAACTAAGAAAACCAGGCCGAAACCCGGGCAAAAACGGGCCGAAGGCCAGCCCAAAATGGTGTCTGGGGGCAAGCCCCCTAAATTTTTGTAATACCCCCTTTAGGAAAATTCTGACTATGCCTATGTCCATGATGTATAATCATCACCTTACCAAAGTTTCTATGAATTTACACTATATTGTCTTTTAAAATGATGATTGACATATTTATGAATGATAAAAATACAAAATATTGACTATTGATGGCTCTAAGAAATAATATAAATTTGTATATTAATGATTCCACTAACTATGGTGCAATTTTAGAATCGAGACAGGGAATTCTATTATTTCAAAATGATTCTATTTTTGAAATAGGTTAATACTTTTAACACTTATATATAAGATAATTTAAATAGATGAATACTTTTTAAAAACCCTGAAACCTCAATATTCAAAATTTTATGAAGGCTATAGTTGCTTGGGATTAATAACATTATCGTTTGGTATTAAAACTATTAAATAACTAATATATTTTTATTCTAGGTAGTAATTTAGCCCAATTCATAATACTGGTTAATAATTGTTCTTCCATTGGTAAAATATTAGACAACGAGATTTATAAAATACTCTCCACAAATTTTATTTGTATTAATTCAAATTTGCAATTTGAAGAAGAGTACAATGGAATATCAGAAATCAAAAAATTTTTGAATTCTGGGTGTTTTTATTTTTCATTTAATATTAAATCCAAACCATTTGACCTGACATTATCTGCAGAGAGTATAAAGCAAAACTTAAATACAGATGATAGATTTTTTTGGTATCTTAAAAATTTGTTTGCAATTATTTATAATTCTTTTATAGGAACAAAATACCATATAGTTATCTATTGCAAAATGGTATAAACAATGGTTATAAGTGGTTTACCCCTATTATATGTGGTTCAATTGATATTAAAACTTGTTATGCCGGTAATAATAAAGCCAAATTATGCCTTATTTCAAGGTTTAGCTGTGAAAGGGCAGGGACAAGGTTTAATGTTAGAGGCATAGATGACAATGGATTTGTAGCAAATTTTGTAGAAACAGAACAAGTTTATTATACAATTTTATACTAGAGGTCTGATAAAACTCACCAAACCCACCTTGAAATGTGATTATTTTTAATTTTTGAATTGGTTCATGCCAAAATTTTATTTTGGGTGGGTTGGGTATCAAAATATTTTTTTACAATTTTAAATTTATTAATGATATCAAATCATTAAACTGATTGTATATTATTATACAATCTGTTCATTTTAATTTATTTTAATAACACTTTGAAAAATATATATTGGATTGTTTGGGTCAGGAATATGGAATTAATTTTATATTTGGGTTCTGTTGGGTCAGGAAAATGTTTTCTACCTATGGGTCAGACTGGTTCAAAAATAATAATTTAAATTACAATACACTTCAAAATAACAATACAATAATTTTATGTGTATTTTTATTATGGTAAATGATCAAAAATTATAATAGGGGAGACCAGGGCTAGTCTGCACAATTTTTGTCAAAATCATTATAGCTCCAAAAATAATGATCATATAAGATCTTACAAAATACTAATAGATACCTTAAACATCTACCTATGAATATATACTGTTATATTTTTTAAATATTTAATAATTATTTCTCTAGAAAGGTTTTAGTAAAAGTCATTTTTTGAACCTAGTAGCCCCAAACCCGCGTTTAATCGGATCATCGATGGGGCTAGTCGAATCAAGTGGTTTATTAGGCTTCTTATGAGACAAAAAATATTATTTCAGATTAATATATAACTATGATACTTTATTTATATAATATTCTATTTATAATTATAACAAATAAAATAACAATCTTTTTTGACAGAGAACCACTCTACATTGAAACCAATCTTCAAAATTATAAAAACTTTTATAATCCTGTTTACAAATAATACACACATCTTTTATTAATGTTTATTTTTTATTAATAATAAATTTACTCAAAATTTAGCTAATTCTATATTTAAATATATAACATCATTTGATTTTATTATCAGGCTAAATATAATCTGATAATTAAAATGTTCATATCCAATAAAATGAATTAATTTGAATCATATAATATTGTCAATTAAAATAGATATATATATATAAATATTTGTTTGTTAGATATAACATTTTAAATATATTATTATTATCAGGCTAAAATTTATATGCTAAAATGTTCATATCTAATAAAATATATTAATTTGAATCATATTATATGTCAATTAAAAAATATATATTATATTTGTTTGCTAGATATAATTAATTTAAATAATTAATCTTATTATTAGGCTAAAATTTATATATGCAATATATATAATATCTGTGGCAATATATAATATATTATCACAATATGTATACGAAGATTTTAGTTTGCAAGGTATTTATTTAGGTCTGATATTATATTAAAATTGAAATGTATTATGAAAAATCAATCACATTAATAAATTTATATAATAATAATTATTTATTTATAAAATATTATAATTTAACCTGTAATAAATGGTATTTTTCTTAATGAGATATCATTTTCATACAGTTTTATAGTTTCTTCATAATCTTTTTTAGTAAAAATTTTACTATTTTGAATTTTGCATATATATTTGGGTACCATAATAATATAATAAAAATTGACTGATTGCGCTGACTAGCCACGATTCTACTAACCTCAATGGTGGTAATATTACTAATTTGATCTTAACATATATTTAAGCATTATATATCAATCTGAAACTTTCCCAAATATTAAAATAGATATTTAACTTTCATATAATGTTCATTTTGTCATGTTTAAACTTTTAATTTTTTAATATAATCTAATAATATTAAGTGAAAATATTGTAATTTACGAAAAACATTCATAATGGATAAAAATTTAAATAGCTATATATTATAAATTATTTTCATCCCCAATTATGGATATTATAGAATTCTATTTTAGAACTAAATTTCAATTTTTAATCTTAACTGGTTTTAAAATAAAATCTTTTGAACCGATAAGCCCCTTGCGCCGGCTAGCCCTGGTCCTACTAATATATATGTCTGATATCTAAATTTTATTTTATTTATTGATTTTTAATTATTCCTATGTTTTATATTAAAAAATTAGTAAGCATAATATCTTAATTTTTAAAATTTTGTTAGTAGAATTCTGACCAGGCCTTGTTGTCTGGACCATAAAATTTCACAATTTCAAGCTTAAAATTTTTCTTTTAAATCCTGAGAATGGTTGAGTAAAAAAAATAAACTCAAAATTTATCAATTAATAAGTTGTGAAAGTATACATAAATGTACATTTAACATTCATTTGCATATTTTTAATTTCTTTTTAAATTAACTAAACTATTAAAATTATGATATGTGATATAAACATTTTCTCCCTCTGCTTGTGGATACAACAGAGCTATGCTAAGTTTTCCTCAAATACATCAAACTGGATATTTAATTTAGTGGGAGAAAAATGAGGGCCTTTCACATGTTTGTGGGCAAGCAGCACATACTTGTATGTGCATTAGTCCTAGGACTATTGCTTTAACATCTGTGGGCTGATTAAAAGGGAATGGGCAGAAAAACACGGCCCACACCCATGAATTGCATATGTATTTAATTACTTTATAGACAAGGGGAGGATCGATTTTAATTTTAAAGTACATTGTATTTGATTTAAAATAAAAATAGAAAAGCTAGTGTCAATGAAATATAAGTCAGAGAATAAGTGAAATAAAAAGATTAAACCCTGTATCAAGGAAGAGTTTAAGGGCTATTTAGATAATCTGATTTGATTTTTAGTAGTTTGTTTTTATTCAATTTCAGGAACTGTTTTTCATTTAGGTTTAAATCCATTATGCCTTTCAAAGCTCTGTAGAACCATAATGTTTTATACTTGCGATATGTTTTCTCATTAAAGGAGTATAACCAATTAATGGCATCGATAACCAGACTATTGTTGCTATTGTTCCTCAAAATGTGGGCAAAGAAGGTAAGGCGCTTCTTTTTTAATGTCACATGTAATTGTTTGTGGTTTAACCTCTTCCAAAGGTTTTCATTCGAAATAATATTTGGGAAATGCCGTTTATATTCTTAGACATTTATTTACGAACGTTGCAATTTTCTGGCCTCTGTCTTGGTAATCTCCCATATGTCTCCGCCATAAAGGAGAATTGGAATGAAGGTTGAATTAAAAATTCGGAGTCTTATAAATACAGATAAAATTTATAAAAAGTTACCCTGCCATTTTGTATACGGATTTTAAGTTCCTCTTTGCAACTGCCTCTATTGTCAATGGTTACACCAAGATATTTAAAAGATTTCACCACCTTGACCATGACCATCTTGCCCCCTCCAAGATATTTAAAAGATTTTACCACCTTGACCATCTTGCCCCCTCTAGAGGGGGTGCATGAGACGAGAGCATTATCACTGTTTTATCAAAATTTATGTCCTGGCCAGTCTTAAGACTGAAGGAATTTAGTATAAATATCAAATTATGAATTTCTTCCAAACTTTTTGTAATCATCACTACATAATCCGTGTAGCATGACACCCTATAACACAAATGATTAGACCTTAGTTCTAAAAGATTAGCAGTTCCCAACTTGTCTTTTATAAATCTATAAAATAATAATAATAACTAAGTACTAATAAACATCTATTTTATCTTTCATACTTTGGCCTATATATAAATTAGCCTGAAATGTCAAAAATTCTGTAAGAAAATCAGATAAAAATAATTCAATTATTTTTTACGGAGTTTTAGCATTTCGGATTTTTTTCAGCCCATGAGTTTATTAAAGTCAATAGGTGGATCGAGGTCATTTTTCCAATATGTGGGATTATATAATAAATTTACAAGGCGCAAATTATCTTCTTAGGCAGAGGATTCATCAATATAATCTGAACTAATATCATTTTCATCAGCTGACGCCATTCTGCATAGTGGGTTTCATTGAAATCCATTATAAATTATATAATTATTAAAGATAGGAGGCATTATATATATATTGAAGTAATATATGTACAAAATGTTACAATATCAAATAGAATACTTTTAGAATATCCGTTTGGGAAAATCTGGAAAAAAATACAAAAATGTTTGTACTATTATGAAAAAATTTGAATGGTGGGTTATATTTTGGAGGTTCCACGTCATTACAGAGAAACCATTACAGAGAATGTATTTTACAGAGAAACTTTTATAGAGAAAACAAAAATAGAGAATGCACTTATAGCGAAAACAATTATAGAGAATGTCGTTTATAGAGAAAATTTTATAGAGAAAGTTTTATATAGAGAATGACGTTTATAGAGAATGCACTTATAGAGAAAACAATTATAGAGAATGTCGTTTATAGAGAATAATTTTATAGAGAATAATTTTATAGAGAATAATTTTATAGAGAATAATTTTATAGAGAATAATTTTATAGAGAATAATTTTATAGAGAATAATTTTATAGAGAATAATTTTATAGAGAATAATTTTATAGAGAATAATTTTATAGAGAATAATTTTATAGAGAATAATTTTATAGAGAATAATTTTATAGAGAATAATTTTATAGAGAATAATTTTATAGAGAATAATTTTATAGAGAATAATTTTATAGAGAATAATTTTATAGAGAATAATTTTATAGAGAATAATTTTATAGAGAATAATTTTATAGAGAATAATTTTATAGAGAATAATTTTATAGAGAATAATTTTATAGAGAATAATTTTATAGAGAATAATTATATAGAGAATAATTTTATAGAGAATAATTTTACAGAGAATGATTTTACAGAGAATGATTTTACAGAGAATGATTTTATAGAGAATGATTTTACAGAGAATGTCGTTTATAGAGAATAATTTTATAGAGAATAATTTTATAGAGAATAATTTTATAGAGAATAATTTTATAGAGAATAATTTTATAGAGAATAATTTTACAGAGAATGATTTTACAGAGAATGATTTTATAGAGAATGATTTTACAGAGAATTATTTTATAATGAATGTATTTTATAGAATTATTTTATAAAGAATGTATTTTATAGGG